CGGAGAATCCCGACGTTGACGATGTGATACGTGTGGAGAGGGTCTCGCAGGAAGAGGAAATGAGGCGCTACTTCAGCGGTATGGATTCGGGCCAGCGTATGGTGAAGAGTCAGCATCATAGAAAGAATGGGAGCTCTGCTAGGGAGTAATCTCAGACGTATTATCGTTCCTGATGACTATTCAGTCTGTTACTGTTAATGTGTGTGTGTTGAGTGTGCTGGAGTGGGGGTATACCGCTGTGGGGTTTGTTTCAGTTCCCATGGTTGCGGCTTATGTGCATTCTTCTGTCGCGTTAAAGACGCAACAACTGGGCCCTGCGGTGTCGGTGATGTAATAAACGGAGTGAATGGTGAAGTAATAAGCGAGAGTGCATTGGCCCAGATAAATACAACAACAATAGGGCTCCCGGATATCATAAGGACTTTACAGTTCTCCACTTGGGATTTGCAGCGTCCCATGACATGGCGCCGATCGTGAATCGGTGGTATTCATGCTTTTTCGTGCCCTGGCCATGTTCTGTGTTGTAGTGGGATTCCAACGGGGTTGTTTTTAACGTTCCCATAGGTAGCCCTATTCGTATCGAATCCATCGAACTTATCGAACCCTGACTATGTCGCCAAACCCAACGAATCGTAGTAACACAGAAAGGTTGAGGAAGAGGTAATGCCGGTGTATCCCTGCTGAGCATGCTCATGCCTCGTAGTAGGTATAAAGTACGCATGTGCATCTACTATCTAGCTGGTGGCTGTACCGAGGGCGAGAACTGCACCTTCGCACATTCCCCGGAGGAGCTGGCCAATCCGAAAACCGTCATGTGCCCTAGCGGAGCGAAGTGCACTGATAGTACTTGTCCCTTTGCCCATGATAAGAGCGAGTTGGTCGTGGGTCACCAGAGGGTCATACAGCAGATGTGCAAATATATTGGACCAGGCTTTCGAGGCTGCAATGCTGGTGACTGCTGTCGATTCGCACACACCAGGGATGAAATGCTCACTGGAGTGCGTAATCAAGCTAGTAACCTTCTAGGGGACGCCGGGATGGTCGGTGGGCCCAGCTCACGTGCAAGTGGGATGGCGTTTGGCCCATCGACATCCCAGCTCACGCCGCATGATGCGCATCCAGGTAGTAGTAGTAGTAGTAAGGTTACACTACCACGGTCATTTTAACATACGCCCAACGAATCGACCGGGGGTTCGATTCGTCTAACCAAACAGTGTATACTGTCCATATAGATACATTCATCATGTTGAGAAGTTATATGAATATTCGCCGTACTAGCCGAGAAATGTGATTTTTTGCATCTGCATGAGAAAAACGCACGCACAGTATCTCCTGTATGGGAAAGCGTCGTCGTTGTCATTATTATTGTTGTTGTCAGATCTAATCACCAAGGATCGAGTCCGAGAGGCAGCCAGAGCTCTAGGTCTCGTGTCCCACGATGGTGTTGGTGCCACCTATAATGAGCACGGCGAGATCGTCTGGCAACTTACAACCGATCAGCTGCTCAACTTGATCAAGATCGCCTCTGGTGGTCGGTTGCCGGTCGACACATCAGATTGAGCTGAGGTTAGGGTTATTCGTAATTTAATCATAATCGTTAGTATCATCGTAGAACCAATCGTATTCAGTCAGTCGGCGCACTTTGGGCGGTGTTGCCATTGACTCCCAAACGCTTGTACTATGTTTCTCCCGAGGGCAGCAACAACATGCCATGCGATATGCCATGGTAGAGCCACTGCATTATGCTCTTCTCGTGGTCTCGTATCGAGCGTTATCTCCATCGTTGAAAACACTGTATGGGCACTGTTCTCGTGATTGCGACTGGTGTCGATCGTCTGTACTATTCTGTCGCTGTCGTAACTCCTCGAATCTCCATCATCATCATCATCATCCAGCATCGAACCATCATCGTTTATTCGTCCGTTCGCAACCTTGATGTTGCTGTCGGATCTCATATGTTTGATCTCACGAGCATCAGCTCAGACGTGAGCTGAGTCAGTGTTTGTGAATCTCGTAGTGTCTACTTTTCTCATCCTGCGAACACTACTACCCTACTGCTGCTATCATTGATAACACTTGGTTGCTTTTTGTTGACTCGTTCTGAAAGTGTCTGAAGTTTGAAGTCGGCAACTATGGGGATAACAATATGCTCGTCAATTTCGGAGGATAGGCTATGTTGAGTTCAGTAGTCTGAGCCACCCATTCGGAGTCTTCGAATATCAAAGAGTAGTTCGATTCTTGCAAGTTGTTCACACCGAACTGATGAGGGTCGTAGCGGTGACACCCTTTGGTGACGCGAATGATTCCGCAGCCCTTTTTCTCGTCCCAACGGCATAACATACGTTCTCGAATTGGGTCCACAAAGACGCAAATCGCACCGTGTGGCCCTTAGAGGCTTAATTGTTGTGCAAATTGTCTCCCCTTTTCCCCCACTGTTAATAATCTCCTGACTATCGTTTGTGGCGTGGCCAACTGGGCGAGCGAGATCTACAATGAAGACTGTCGAGATATTCGTAAGGTTCACTCGTGGAAGCCTCGCCCGATGCCGTTATTGGACTTTCCATTGGACTTGATCAACACAAGAGTACAACTTGAGCCAAGATGGCTACAGACCTGTTCCTGTCTCTGCCTCTGACTATCGACTTGACTACTAGCTAAGTAAAAACGCGCTCGCCTTGGGGATCGATTACACCATCACTCCCCCTTTTCGAGAGCGACCATAGCGGCTAACAGATTTATCGATAGACGACAGAAATCGGAGCTCTCGACTCTCCCCCTTTCGCTTACCCTGCTGAGAGGATTCCATGCGATGAGGGATGACCGAGCTCCTACGAGAGGCAACAGAGGAGGTAACAGTAGTGGGTGTAGTAGCTTTCTTATCATCATCATTGAAGGTCTTCTCGACCGTTCCAGAATTGGGATTTGAATGAGTATTGTTGGGTTGAGTGTCAATAATAGGAGATTCGTTTTGGTCATCGTCGGCGCCAAACCGATCAGGAGTAGGAACTGCAGGGGTTCGCTCTCCCGTAGAATTGTCAAGACCAGAGATAGTATCAGAACCATCCCCAAATATTTTATATAAATTCCTCCTGTGAATGGTAGGCCATCCAGAGGGGTTGTCAGCAATAGAGGATTGATCGTCGAGCGGCTTAATCTGATAACATTGGTTTCCGATAGACCGAACTACAACAAATACCCTATCATCATGGACGATCTTACCATACTTATTGCGACGTTGTTGTAGCCATACCACTCGATCACCAATAGATAGAGTGCCAGATTTAGCAGCATCTTTATAAAGCTGGGCATAGCGTTCGGCACGACTTTGTATCCAGGCCTCGTTGAAGAGTGCCAAGAGATCTCGACGGTGCGCACCACGAGAGATGGCTT